TATATATATCTATCTATCTACCCACCTCTCTCTCTACCTCTCTCTCTACCTCTCTTTCTCTCTGTGTCTCTGTCTATCCCCTCCCCCCCTCTCTCTCTCTCTCTCTCCCCCTTCTCTCTCCCTCTCTTTCCACTTATTTTTCTCTCCGTGTCTCTGTCTATCTCTCCTTGTGACTTTTCTCTAAATGTATCATTCTCCATGTCTGTCTCTCGTTCTCTCTGCCCCATCTCTCTATCTCCCTTCCTGTCTCCCCCACCCATATTTCTCTACTGCATTTGAGAGGCTAAAATTTACGTACTGCCCACACACATGAATTTCCAAGCGGGGCATTGATTATTTATATAATACCTGTTACCATCTTTGTGGTCCCCTCCGCCCACCATTACCGAATCGCCCAGGTCAGTGATATTGATAGCTCGAACGACCGAAAAAGTAAAATTATACCTTTATTATAGTCTAACATCATCAAGCCTCTTGCCTCTTTTGCAGGTGTTTGACAGGTGCTCTGGTATGGTTCGTTACTTCTTTCCATAACATAAGTATCGTCCTTATCTCTCCTTTTTCTTTCCTTTGTGAGTTAGTTACTCTCTAGTAGTACCTAATCTTCGGCACTTATATGACATAATTGTGTTGCAAGCGCCGTAAAACAATTACTTTAACTAAAACAAAAACCTCTTCTCCTCAGCGTGTTCTATTCGTAGTCCTTTTCGCGGACGCCTGCACTCACCTTCGAAACGTCATAGAGGTCATGAGGGCATGGGTCAAGGCCGACGAGAACTACTCCTCCTACGTCAAGAATGATCTCAACGAACTGGACTCTCTCAAGGAAGACAAGGTCAGGGACAAAGAAAACTTCGTTGACTGTTATGAACACGTTAGATTTTTTAATATTGGCGTTGTGTGATTTTATCCCCCCCCAAAAAAAAAAAAGAGGAGAGAAAAAAGTTTTAAAAAATCAAAAAGCCAAACCAAACCAACCAAACAAACAAACAAACTAAAAATTAAAAATCACACGAGAACAGCAATGAAAAAAAAAGCAACACTTTTGGAGACGGTAACCCTAGCGGAAAGTTCTCGGGTGGTTCGGGGTCGAAGACAAGTACAACTGAGATATTTCCGACTCAGTTGCCCCCTAAAACCGCCCCCCCCAACACATGCACAC